TTCAGTAAAAAAGTAATAAAAATAAAAGAAATAGAGTAACAAGAAAAAATATAATACAAGATATAAACATTCAGTTCTTAAGGAGAAAAGGAAAGTTCCCTGTCAATCTTTAATAGCTAGCAGTTTTAAAAACTACTCAAATTTAGCATAATAATAAAACTCCAAATTATGTTCAAATCATGCTGATATTATATGCAAATGTTCAACCCAGCATTAAATGATGGTAATATTCATGGTGAGATAACTAAGAGCTAAAACAATTATTATTTCAATCTTGCCACATCTTTTCATTATTGTAAGATTTTTGGTCTTGAAGTAACAAAGTTCTATAAAATTAAACCTGTATTTTATTATAATTGGCCAATACAATTTTGATATTTATGTGTATCTTTTATTGATATGTGTTAAATTTTAGTAGAATGAAGAAAAATAATGGAATTAATTGGGCCCATTGATTTCTCTAGTTTGTGTAAAAACTGTCTTTTACTAAGAAAATTTTAATTTGGGACCACCATTTTTGAAGGTTAATTTCTTCTATAATCATGTGCAATGTAATGGAACATGAAACCCAGTTAGAAAGTCCACTCCAATGCCACTTATGCCCTTGGTCAAACCAGGAATCTCGAGTATATAATGTTGTATAATGTGTTGCTCTAAAATAATCCTATATAATAAAAGCGTAATATGCAAATCGACTGAACAGTGGAACAACTGGTGGGCAGGGGGCAGGGCCGGCGAGCAGGTGGTGCCTGGAGCCAAGGCGTGTGCCAGTGGGAAGAGGGAGTGGATGGCGATGGGGGGGTGGGGTGGTGGTGACCAGTGGCAGCAGTGGGGCAATGGGGGGCAGGGACGGCCGCTTTCCCACCAGCACTATCCCCTGATTGGCCCACCGGCCACCTCCCTCAGAAAGAGGCCAGACTGCGGCTTAGCGGGCCTAAGCCATCAGTCGGACATCCCCTGAGTAGGACTGTGAGAGGGCATAGGCTGGGCTGAGGGGCCCTTCCCCCCTCCACCATGCCCCCCCCCTGCCCCAAGTGCATGAATTTTCATGCACTGGGCCTCTAGTATGAACTTCTGCCTGGTATGTTTTTCTTATGGCTTTTGACAATTTAGCTGAGGGATTTCACTTTGTAATGCTCTGCCAAGTCAGTTCTGTACAGTGTAACAATATGACACCCACCCAGAGCTTACCCAGATGAGCAGAGAGCAAATGAATTTCCTTCTGCTCCTCTGTTGAAGAGAGAAAATTCTTCACCCCGTAAATGTTCAGAGAGCATTATACTGTTTTTTATGGTAGATTAATCTCAGCACCATGTGTTCCTAGGAGTGTGGAGTCCAGGGCAAATCATGTGGCTCCCTCCTCAGATTTAGACAAAGGTCAAATCAGGTTCAAAGGACCAGCCCCCTGTGGGGACGGGAAGCCTTCAAATATCCAGGTGAAGTAAAGAATGTGCAAGAAGCCCCTGGGAACCTGCCTATGGAGGTGTTTATGGGCTCTTTTTAAGCCACTTCTTTACCCCTCAGTCTACTTCTTAGTCTTTCCTGACCATGAAATTTAGGGCAGAAAAGCACACAGCAGTCACCCTAATTGCTTCAAGTCCTAGGGACAACTCTTGGCCAGGGCTGGCTTCATGGGCCTGCAACCTGTACAGTTGCAAAGAGCCTTGAGCTTACAAAAGCCCGCCCTTGGTTTAATGCTCTATGTCTTGGCCTTGAATCTTGATATCTTTTGAACAAGGTGCTCCATTTATTTATGCATAGACAGATCTTGTGTACAAAGCCATGAAGCATTTTTTTTTAAATATGTTTTATTGATTTTTTACAGAGAGGAAGGGAGAGAGATAGAGAGTTAGAAACATCGATGAGAGAGAAACATCGATCAGCTGCCTCCTGCACATCTCCTACTGGGGATGTGCCCGCAACCCAGGTACATGCCCTTGACCGGAATCGAACCTGGGACCTTTCAGTCCGCAGGCTGACGCTCTATCCACTGAGCCAAACCGGTTTCGGCCATGAAGCATTTTTAAGGCAAGAAAACAACCAGTTCCTCATCTTATTGCATTTTTACCCAGAATAAATGAATCAAAGGAATTTAGGACTGGAAAAATTAGGCTGAGATGAAAATGAGCCCAATTTTTAATAGAAATGAAATTTTAAGTACACTGTGATGTTGCATTTGAGGGGTACTTTTCCAGGATATACGTATTTTTTTTCTTTCCATCTGGGTTGATTATTTTGAGACAGTGAAATGTGATTTGCTAGACATTTCAAACCAAAGATGGGGAGTACATACATAGAGGTTATTTCAGGGTTTTGATTTTTTTTTGAGAAAACCTGGGTGCAAACAGATAATAGCGTATCTGTTAATATGGAGGGATGGCGCCAGCCCCACACATAAGTGTAAAGGTTTCACATCATCTCTTTACCACCCTTCCAGCATGCCTATGTCCTGTCATGTTTGCCCTCCTCCCTCATCTTAAAAGTGGTTAGATTTCTGGAATGGTTAGATTTCTGGAAAACTTGTATATAACGTCTTCTCTGTCTGCCACATGAATTGAGCCAAAAACCTGCATCCCATTTCTGTGTGGCTTTGTTCTCAGTTGACTTTCATGGTTAGAAAGTGATCTGATAGTTAACCCCTGATAAACTATTAGCTGGTACTAACTTAAGGTGTGGCTTCTACTTAGGGAGCTTTATTTTAATATTTAGTAAAACAAAGTCTTAAAGACTCCAAGGCATGAATTCCCCCAGAGCCATTGCGAAGCCCACTGACAAGCCAGCGAGGCCTTCAATTGCACCAGGCAGGCAGCTGCCCTTGATGGCCACAGTGTTCCAGAGACAGAAAACCCCTCCAATATTTCCTCTGTTCATGCCGAACTTGGGTAGCTCAGTAGCTACTCCAGACTACTGAGTTAGCCCTTGTCACGTTGTATGACTTACGGCAGATGCTAACATACAGAAAAACTAATGTACTTTGCATAATCCCAGTACTTCCCCATTGTCCTTGCTGACTTCCTTCTTAGGTCACTGAGGAAACAGAAGGGATTATGACAGAACTTTTACAAGTTTCTACAACATCTCTCACTTGCCAGCAACTGTCTTCCCATGTATTCTGCCTTCTCTCCTTACTAATGATTAATTGTCCATGTTCCTGTTTAAGGTCACGGGGTCCCATCATCTCTCAACAATTCACCCCTTTCTTCCGAATCATTCCCATCAGCATACCTATATGCCATTGTTTCTCTTACCTTCAAAACAACAACAAAAACATTCTCTCTCTTGACTTTATTTCCTGTGCAGGCTGCTGTCCATTTCTATTTCTTTTCACATCAAAACTCCTTGAAAAACTTACTTATACTTGCTCTTCCAAACTCTTTCCTTTCATTTCCCCCAAACCTACTTCAGTCAAGTTTTTGTCCCCAATGATTCCACTAAAACTGCTCCCACAAGTTCACCAAAGACTCCCTGCTGCTCCACCCAAAGGTTTATCCCCAGACCTCATATCACTTGTCAGCCACACTTCAGACAGTCCATCACTCCCTTCTCCTTGAAACACTTCTTTCACTTGGCTTCCAGGACTCCACACTTCTGATTTTCTTCCTGCCTCACTGGCCTTCTCATGTTTTGCTGGCTTTCCCCCATCTTAATAACAGGGAACCCCAAGGAAAGGTCCTTGGATCATTTTTCTTCTGAATCTACACTCACTCCCTTGGCTATCTCATGGCTTCAAATATCATCTTTCTCTGAAATACTCCCAAACTTTTCTCTCTTGAACTGTAGACACATCTATTTACTTCAGGGTCTAGTTGGCATATCACACCATGACTTATTAGACCCCACCCAGTCACTCTTTGCCTTCTCTCCCTAGCACTGGTTCTGCTCTAGCCATGTTGGCCTTCCAGCTGCTCCTGCTCAGACCTGAAGGCCTTCTCAGGTGCTCCGCTCTCTGCCCAGATTGCTCTTTCCCCAGATATCTGCAGGGATTTTTCCTTTGCCTCTTCCAGGTTTTGTTCGAACACTACCTTCTCACTCAGGCCTTCCTTGACCACCACCCTATTAAATTGCACTGTACTTTCCTATCCACCTTCCCCGATTTACCTTTCTCCATGGCACTCTCTTTCTAACTCCAGTTGTTGTTGTTGTTGTTTTTATTATCTGTCTTCCACACCCAGAATGTAAGCTCTGTGAGGAATGGGACCTTTGTCAGTTACCTGATGTATTCCCACTGCCCAGGTCAGCACCTGGAGCCGTGGTAGGTGCTCAATACACATTTATTAAATTTATGATGATATATCTTTCCCCCAAAGGACATGGCTTGCATGTGATATTAAAACAACAACAACTGTTTTCTAAAAATAGGGATTGGATTTGTGACTGAGAACCTGTCCTTTCTTAAGCTCTTCTTTATCAAGCCGGCTCCCTTATTTGTTTGGTCGGTGGAGCATTCACTATGAGTCCCTCAGGGTCCCATCAAACCACTCACACTTGCCCTTTCAGCTGAATGTATGAAATAAAAGTGCTGTGCAACATTTTTACTATTTGTTCACAGGTATTCTTTTTACTCAGTAATTATTATGCATTTTTGTTTTCCATGAAATGCCTCGTTTAAAATGTTATTGTAAAGATTAAGCTGATGAATGATGTGTAGCAACAGAATAGCCTTCAAGATTGGAATATTACCATCTGTCACATTTGTTCTACTTTCTAGGCATATTAAATAATTTCCCATTTAAAATAAATAATTGCTGCCTACCACAATAATGCATCTTGCTTTCATCAGAGGTTGTAGCAAAAAGTGAATTCCGGGAACACTCATACGTTTCCTGCTGAGAGTACTTACCGCCTGCTCCTAGAGAAGCAACGCTGAACTCCGTAGGGCAAGACCACAGATCAATCGGAGGAAATATTGGAGAAAGCAGAATTTCATTCTCCCAGTTCTGATGCAGGAAAGGACAAACTGCCCATATTCATCCCCCCTCCCCATTTGTTCAAATAAGAAATACAGAAAAATTGGTAAAATTTATTCACAATGCAGAAGTTGAGATGAATAAAGCAGCTGGCAATGGCATATTGCCTCTGAGTTTGATTTATAAAAAATATTAATGATCTCAATTTTCTGTATTTTGCTATTTTGGGGAATGATGAAGAGAGTCTTTTTTTTATAATTATAAAACTTCAGACTTCAATGTCATTTATCACAGTGTTGTCTGGAATTTCGAAAATGTCTTATCAGGGGTGATCTGGGCTTTTCAGGACCTGCAAGTTGATAGAAGTTGGGTAACCGTATATCGTAGTGGTATCTTCTTCCTATATATACCCTGTCATTCAAGGCATAGAGTTTATCTGCAATGTCACTGCCAATTAAAACTGAGAACAGGCGGGAGATGTAACGATACTGAGCGAAGAGCAAATATAATTTCTTTCTCCTCCATGACACATACCGACAATCAGTTTCTGCTGTTAGGGTTACCTAAAAACAATAAAACCAGGTATAAACAAAGATTAGGGAGCAAGAAAAGTTCTGTCAGTCACATTTTTTGTGCCCCACATTTTAAATGAATGTCCATTCTTTTTTTTTAGGTGAAAAAAGCCCACTGACCCAAAACATACTGTAAAAAATAGAAAAAGAGATCAGAAAATGTATTACTATACATAATTTATAACATGAATAGTCACAATATTGTGCCCATCTCCAATTTATCTGTTTTCTAAGGTCAGATATCTATGTTTTTCTTTTTATTGAAGTGAGAGCTACTTATACTAAAAATTAATAAAGTTGGCTAATGTTAGAGAAGTATCTCCAGTCAGTCCTGAAGACTGTGTACATTTAACCCTAATCCAGTTTCGATAGTACAAAATAGAATTTATTTACCTATCCTGCATATGTATATGAATTTGTATTTGTAGACACACATGTATGTTCCATGTATTAATCACAGGAAAACAGTATATACCATAATAGACAGAACCTCCTGAACTGATTATCTTTCAAAACTCCCAGACATAGCAGCAGAGCAGGGACAGGAAGTTTAGCATTTTGTTGGTAGAAAACAACTGCTATCCATCAGCATCTTAAATTTCAAAAATAACTTATTTTGTAATTAGGGCAGATTTTTTGTTCTTGGTGTTTTTCTCAACGGTCACAGTGGCAGTGTGTAGTGTACTTTCACATCTCAAATGATTTTTATTCCCATAGATGCAGTTAAGCAAAGAAAAATGTAAGACTACTTTTTACAGACTCCTTTCTGTCATATGAAATACTCATTCTTCTCCTGGTTGCTGGACTCCTATAAAGTGACATTAATCGTCAAGAGTCAAACAGCTTTAGAAAGTCATGCATGCTGCATAGTACGTTCCAAAGTGACGTGTAAATGATTCCTCTGTCACCTGCTGTTGTGTCTGTTTATCTGTGTGGAAGAGGCGGTGTTCACTGCGTGCGCTCGTTACCGCTTACCTGAAAAGTGCCTTCCTCGGTGGGTCTCAGTGAGTCCCATTCAGGAGAATCCAGGAACTGGAAGGGGAAAATGTAATGCAGAAATTCGCCATCAACTGTCACTCTGATCCTACCCAGACACAAAGAACAGCATTGATGAGGAAGGAGAAAGCCAGCACATAACTGGGGTGAGGGGAGGGTTCAGGCCTCTGAGGACCTTTTTGGCGATTAAAATTTTGAAGGGCAAAGATTAAATTCCTGCATTACAGTAAGTGGCAAGTCTCCTGTAAGATTCATGTACTGATGTTCCTCACACAGTTAGGATTCTGGAATACTGAGCAAAATTCATCAAAAAACTCATCAAGCTGTACATTTATGATATGTGCCCATCTCTGCATGTATATTACACTCTGATAAAAAGTCTCAGTGCACTCAGTCAGATTTTAAATTAAACAGAACACTGAAGAACATAAAGGGGTACCACTGTAAATACGTCTGAAAATTAAATACTTAACTTTTAAAGAAAATAATCATATTGTTTCCTCCCCCAAACTTTGTTTTATATATATATAAACAATATGAGTTTGAACTGTGCAGATCCACTTATATGTGATTTTTTTCAATAAATACTGTTAAATGTATTTTTTCTTTCTTATAGTTTTCTTAATAGCATTTTCTTTCCTCTAGCTTACTTTATGGTAAGAATACAACCAAAGGACTTGTATGCATGTGTATAAGCCTAACCAATGGACACAGACACCAGGCGGGTGAGGGCATGAGTGGGGAGGTGGGGGGGGGGGGCAATGAGGGGATAAGGACACATATGTAATACCTTAATTAATAAAGAAAAAAGAAAAAATGATTAAAAAATAGAATATTCTCTAAAATTTAAAAAAGAATACAATATATAATACATATAATATGCAAAATATATGTTAACCGACTGTTTAGGACTCAAGGGTGGGGAACCTTTTTTCTGCCATGGACCATTTGGATATTTATATTATCATTCATGGGCCATACAAAATTATCAACTTAAAAATTAGCCTTGTATTTGGTCAAACATTTAATTAACTCACCCCTAATGCCTTGGCAGGGCCAGACCAAATGATTTCGACAGCCTTATATGGCCTGGAGGCCGGATGTTCCCCACCCCTGGGTAAGGATGGGTAAGGCTTCTGGTCAAACAGTAGGCTATTAGTAAAGCTTCGTGGGAGTCAAAAGTTATATGTGGATTTTGACTCTGTTGGGGTCAGCATCCCTACCCCTGTGTTGTTCAAAGGTCAACAGTGTGTGTGTGTGTGTGTGTGTGTGTGTGTGTGTGTGTGTGTATACTAGAGGTCTGGTGCATGAAATTTGTGCACGGGTAGGGTCCCTAGGGCTGGCCAGTGATCAGAGCCCATCAGGGCCTTCCTCCCCCCTGCTGCCGGCCGGGGCCTTCCTTTGTTCTGTGCCACCCCCGGTAGTCAGCACACGTCATAGCGAGCAGTCGAACTCCGGAGGGGACAATTTGCATATTAGCCTTTTATTATATAGGATATGTGTATATATACATATATGTATATATAATGAGTTATGCCCACCTCACTTTTAGCAAATGGTCAATTGCTAGAAATTACTGAAAGAGTTGATCATTATAAAACTGATTATTATAAAATTTAATGATCTCTATTACTTAAAAGACTGGCATATGAGAGTCTATTTAAAATACTTTGCATGATAACAAAAGTATTGTATTAATTCAGTACTCGTCTTGACTTTCAATAACTATCTTGGAAATACATAGCATATCCAAATAACTCAATTCATACATTTGATTTATAAGAAGAACGATTAAGACTTTAGATTATTTCTTGCTTCGGGTAAATAATACCATGTACTCTAAATGCCTATGGCCTGTGGCCAGGACTCATGTGTCAGGGCTTTCTCATGCCTCAGGGTGTGAAATGCCACCCAGGACTATGCTAGGCTGAGATAGAAAATGTAGCAGAAAGGAAGACAAGCTAGAAACGATTGTAGAAGAAAGACATTCAAGCACCAACAGTACAAACCTTCCTGAAACAAGCAGAGAGAGCTTGTCAATGGAGGTTTTTCCCTGCATGGCATAGCAGTGCTCCTTTTCCAAAGTAACCACTTCAGAGCTCAGAGCAATCATTCTGAAGACGGGCACAGGGGTCCCCAGAGGCTGGAAAATGGAGCTGTACATCAGCTGGAATTCTCGGGCAAAGGTTATGCTGCGCACTTGATACGCAATGTGAACAAACTGCACGAAGCAGATGATGAAGAGCACAAAATGCCAGGAGAAGATGTCGGCGGCACAGACATCTACCCAAGCCCAGATCGCAGTGCAGAGAAAGCCCAGCCCCAGCAAACTGAAGACATAGAGGAGTCCGAAGAACCCACTGCCACCCATAAGACCGACTACCAAAAAAATACTGGCAAGATGATAAATGGCTCCCTCGGCCTCTTGCTTCCAGTGTGTGCAGACTGGGTGTTCATCTATTAGGTCCTTCCATACAGTTGAATTTCTTTCCATGGCTGTACCACCATCTGGTTCACTTTCCCATTGATGTTAGATGATATCGAGATGAGTAATTAAGTCCTTTGCTTTTCCATCACCTGAGTTTCGCTAAATCCTCACAAACACGGAGAAAGCCTGGTCACTGGAGTTGTGGTGATTAAGGGTTTGGTGTGTTTGGATCTTGAAAAACTAAGAATCCCATGCTAGCTTCGGTAAGTTCATCTGGGCTCCTGATTTAGATCTAGTCCACGAATATTTTGTGGTTTCCTATGTAAGAAGAAGAAAAAAAAGGATCTAGTTAAACAAGGAAAACTGAGACATGTATTTAAATGAATCACCAACATTACTTATTCAAGATGAGCTCCTATTTTCCATAAGTTAAGCACCAATGCTGTCAAGTGTTAAATTTCTAGGATATGCAAATTCATTTTTAGAGTTATGCTTATTAATAATAAAAAATTATTAACAGACACTTTGGTATTTGTTAGGACTAGCTAACTACGTATTTTTCAAGGGAGCTAAGTGCTATAGTCAGCCAGTTTCCATAACAGTAGTTCCGTGTACCTCAGAATCACTTGGGAAAGTGACTAAAAGTGCAGATTCATAGACTGTTTCCAAGACATGCTGACTCAGAATCTTCTCTGGAGGGAGGGCTACAATGTTGGCATTTAGAACAAGCTTCCTACATGATTTTGATGCATCAGTGCCTGGCCCTCAATGGCCCACCCTCCGAGAGACGCTGTTTGACAATGTTATTCACGCCTTACAGATGAAGAATTTGAGGCTCAGAGAGGCCAAGCAATTTATCCCAGACCACATGGTGGTCGGTGGCAGAGCAGAACATCAGCACTCGAGCCTGTATGCTGGATCCCATCCTGTGGCCTCCTCCGAAAGATGTTTTAAATTAGGCACTTTAAGGAGCCCTAATAAATAAATAAACCACCATCTGGTAATTGACGTCAGATATTAAGAGCATATAATAGGCTGTAAAATGTGCAGTGACTTAGATCAAAATTATTTGAGAAATATAAATTCAGTTCTACTTTACTGTATTAGAGGTTATTTCAGAGTAAAGGTTGCCTCCATAGAACTAAATAAATACGAAAGTTCCTGCTACTGGCATATTTATTTACCAGATGGTCAAAATGTTACCGACTTGTTTCCCTACACATATATTCTCTACCCTTTCAGCCATATGGTAAAAATGCTAATATGTGATCTGAGTCACATATTTAAACCATGATGACAGAGCTGTAGGATACGTATCCTTTATCACCAGGTTTCTTAACAATAAATGGCTTCGATGTGAAGCATTCGTTAGATTGATGCTTTAAAGTCATAATTAACATTCAAAACCCTTGAACTTGTGTGCTATATTTAGGGTTATTTTTGAAACAGATTACTTTCAGAACACCTGTTAATAAAATATCAGGTATCACAGATTCTGTTTCATAGAAAAAATATGTACACGAGGTGAAAATGATTTGGCTGAAGTTAAAAAAAGGAACAGAACTAGACATGGAAAGAAAGATGGTGCTTTGTTGAAGTTCCTGATTTTCCATCTTGGATAGGGATTCTCTGTCAGCAAGTAATGACTTTAAGGATGCTTACCAGGTGAATCATTAAAATAAGCATAATAATAATAACTAGACCTATAACTTACAGTGATATTTTTGTTTTGACTCAATTTGCTTTCAAATACATTTCAAACATTCTACATCCCCCTAATTATCACCTCCCCGCCCCCAACACTCTGAACCTGTTTAATTTCTCCTCTTTTAAATAAAACACAAAACTATATACTACTGGATATTCAAAGAAAAATGTTAAAAATACAGGGAGGAGTGAGAACTGTGAAATACCAAACTGCAAATGTCAGTCTCCCTGCTGTTTTACTTTTAAAACTAGGGCATTTTCACTTAATCACTTCCTCAGGATACCCAACAACCACCGCAGCCAATATTAAAGAGCACTGCTCGTGGAGCTCTGAGCTTTGGTTTGAGCTTTCTTAAAAATTTATAATCCTTGACAAAATGTTAAAATGATTCTAGTGGGGGAAAGGCCAGGTAAACCGTTTGTGGCAGTTCAGAAGGCAGCTTATGGATAGCTTGTCCCCTTAAAATGCTGACTTGGGGGATATATGGGGCCACATATATCCCAGGAGTGTGACCCTCTATGTTTGTAAGAGGAACTGTGCTTTGGGTCCTTTCCACTTGGCTTCGGTTCCAATAAGCTGCTACCGAGCCATTTTCTATCCCTGATACTGTATCACTGCCCTGATTACATTACTCCACACCCTGCCTTTCTCCACTTGGTGTGTTTTTATTCAGTCACCAAAACAGATGCACTTTATTAGAAGAGGAAGGACTGACAGGGGCAGGTGCTGAGCACGAGTGTTCCTTCGCTATGTGCCAGCAGTGCTGCATGAACGCTGAACATGATTCATCAGCCAGCTGCTAAAGGCTTGCAGGCCTTAAGTCATGTTTTTGGGTAAATAAACGCTGGAATGCTAAAGTGGCACAATGGATACATTAGGCAACACAATCTATCTTCCCTACCAAAGCAGTTAGCACACGGAGATGCAAATGATGGAGACAAACTTGAATGCAAATGAACACAGTAATTCCAAGCGCACGCCCCCCCCTTTCTTTTTAAAATTTGAGACCCTGAGTAGTTATATAAAGGAAGGTTTGAAATGTGATATAAACTTGGTGGCAAACTAATGAAGATTAGCTCGGAAATTACATTGATCTGTTCAGAACTTGTACATTTATCATCTCATTGCATCACGCTGACTGTCACGAGGGAGGCAGGATCTAAATCATCATGCCAGCTTACAAATGAGGAAAGCAGGGCACAAGATTGGTAAAGTCGCTTGCTTCAGGTGAAAGAGGCAGTAAGTCACCACAGCGGGTGGAAGCGCAAGTCCCCCTCCGCTCAGCTTCATGCCTCTCCAGCAGCCACTGCCACCTTTCAAGGACATCGACCTGATATATTAATGTGTTGGGAGACCTAAGTGGGATATTCTGCCAGTACTGTTTTGCCAGGAAAATAATAATCCCAGCAGTGCATATTTAAGACCTGCTATATCCGCTTGTACTGCTCAATCCATAATGCTTAGACTACTACAAGGGACAAAGGCATAGAAAGCCACTCATGGAATGATTTGCTTTGTTACTATTCAACATCAACTAATTTGCTCTCCTAGATTCTGAAATCCTTAAGGGACAAAGAGAAATATTTTCGTAGTTCTAACCCCTGGCACTCAGTGACTGTTAATTGAATGCATCGGGGTAGAGCAGTGATTTTTAACCTTTTTCATCTCATGGCATACATAAAATAATTGCTAAAATTCCGCAGCACACCAAAAAATATATATTTTGCCAATATGACAAAAAAATAGGTATAATTTTAATTCATTCACACCGGATGGCTATTGTTGTGTTGGGCATTGTCATTTCTTAATTTGACAATCTAAGGGAAAAGAGGTCAGTGCCCCTGACTGAATAGTCAAGTATTGCATGTTTTAAAAATTCCTGGGCCCACACTTGATTGAAAATCATTGGTGAAGAGATGCGAACACTCTGCCTTCTGGATTCCAAGTCTCCATCCAATTTAATGGATGGTCTAGCTTCTGTCACCCAGGGGAACGGACGTGGGAAAGATCCCAACATCCAAGATAGTTCTGTACAGAGACATTATGGAATGGGGACATCACTTATGTAAAATGTCTGGTACCACTCCAAATTCAGGGGGGGTCCTTTTGTCTTCTTACAACCTTGAGCTCCTTAAACAAAGCAATTGAGTTACTGATTTGATTAAAAACAACTTTGGCCCTGGCTGGTGTGGTTCAGTTGTTTGGGCATTGCCCCCTGCACCGAAAGGTTGCGGTTTGATTCCCAGTCAGGGCACATCGATGTTTCTTTTTCTCCCTCTCCCTTCCTCTCTCTCTCAAATCTATATATATATTTGAAGATTTTTAAAAAATGACCCTTCCCTGGCTCCACCCCAGAACTACTGAGCCAGGAAGATGAATCCCTAAGAAGCTCCCAGTTTATCCCTACGCACACTCATGTTTGAGAGGCATTGTTTTATGTTGTTCTTGAATGGCCCATAATTATCGCTGCTCGTCTGCAGGGCCTCAGCTTTGTCCGTTCCTGGTTGACCACTAGGCTGTCTTTCTCTGCTGATTACTCGGTGCATTGCTCTTTGATCCCTACTTGTCCTTCTGTGGCTGTAGTACCGGTGTTAGCATACCATTCTGTTATGTAGTGGGTCCATTTCGCATTACTACTTAACAGAATGGATCTAGTCTTAGCTGTATCCCTAAATGACTGTGTGATTTTTTTACTATTTCTAGATGTGTTTCCTCAGTGGTAAGATGAAAAAGTTGGACAAAATAATAAGAGGTCCTTTTAGTTCTAAAATAACATGACTCTATGTGGAATATAAGATTGATTACTCCAAATGTGGGTCAAAATATAGAGTGGAGGGGCAAAACGGAATTAAGGCCGCAGGTCTTAACAGCAGGTTTATGTTTGGGGCCCAAATCTAGAGGTGTTTTAATGAATTACTTAAGGCCTGTGTTGGGGGCACAGACACTGGCATTTCCCCTCATAAATTTATCAGCGATTTTGATGTGCAACCAAAAGAACTACTGAACTAAAGACAGAAAAGGGGGTCAGGGTCAGGAGACATCAGAACATTCTGTAGGCTCTGAGTTTTGTTTGTTTATTTTTAGAGAGAGAGGAAGGGAGAGAAAGGGGGAGAGAGAAACATCAATGTGAGAGAAACACTTGGTTGCCTAATATATGTACCTCGACAAGGGAAGGAACCTGCAACCTAGGTATGTGCCCTGATGGGGAATCGACCCACAGCCTTTTGGTGTATAGGATGATGCTTCAACCAACTGACCCATCCAGCCAGAGAGAGACCCTGAGTTTTTATGGCCTTTATTTCCTGTTTATAGGCTTCCACCATATATTATATTACATTATATTGATGGATATAATAAACTAGTATAATGTACTAGGGGCCCAGTGCACGAATTTGTACACCTTGAAAGGAACTGTGGGCCACAAGGCTATCGTGGGCACAGGGTTGGGTCTCGGCCCATCCTTCATGCCCCCGCCCGGCCCCTCCCGCTGCGGTCCCCCCAGTCTCCTGCCGGCAGCCCCACTCCCACCACTGTGGCTCCCATGCGCTGATGGCACCGGCCCTGCTCACACCCGCTGACAGCGTGGAGCGATTGGGGCCGGCGCCAGCAGCGGG